CTCAGCCCCGCTGTCCCTGAGGGCTCTGACGGATCGAGGGGCTCAGCCCCGCTGTCCGTGACGGCTCTGATGGATCGAGGGGCTCAGCCCCGCTGTCCCTGAGGGCTCTGTGGGACGCGGGGCCGCTCCTGCCGGGCTGTGGCCGCATGGGGCGGGGGAGCCTCCCCGCCACAAGGCGGCGCTAGAGAGCGGCGCGGCGCTAGGCAGAGGCACTCTCGCCGCGCTCTCTGTGGTAGTGACGTCATCGCGGCGCGACGGCGGCAGGCGCTGTGCGCGGCTGCTCCCAGGCCGCTCCCGCCGGGATCGCTCCCACAGAAATGACCACTCAGGTAAATAAACACACCGCCTCAGCTCCACCGACCTTTGGCTTGGCTGTTTGTAGGCTGCTCATGTGTAATATTAGTTATTTTTTTCTTTCTAGTACGGTATTCTCTTCAAGCAAGAGCAAGGTGAGCGAACGCTGGCGGGTTGGGCACTGTTGGTGTTCTGGGGCGATTAAAGTTGGTAATGGCAGGTGTAGGTGTGAGGAGAGCTGGTCGTGGCTATATAATGGATAGATCTGAGTTGCCGTGCTGTTTGTTCAGCGGTGCCTTGGGTCACACAACAACGAAAAGTGGGCTCTGGGAGAGGAGGGCCACTGCCAGCACTGCGCTCAGCCATTGCAGCGCTCACCAGCGCCGCTTGTTGTCTCCTGTCAGCAGAAACCACTGAATCTTTCATTTCTGTGCTTGTCTCCCCTCTCAGCCCACGATGATGCCATTTGGTCGGTGGCCTGGGGGAAAAATAAAAATGATGGTTCTGAAACGGTGATCTCTGGTTCTCTGGATGACCTGGTGAAGGTCTGGAAGTGGTGAGTGCTCCATGTTTTAACTAGTTTTAGGCCTTGGAAGTAGTCAGTGTGGAGATGCAGCAGTTTTGGACTTCCACAGTGCACAGGGATTGAGAAGTCATGCCAGGGAAGGGGTGGCCTGGCACACAGAGCTGTTCCCTTGGGCAGGAGAACTTCACTGGTGGGGGGGCTTCCTCTTGGAGGGGGGCATTCTGGTGGGCTCTGATTGCCACAGAATGGGAACCCCTTTGGAAATGCACATCAGACTTTACATGTTGTCTGCCAGACAACACCTGATTTGTTTCTAAACCAAGGAATGAGAAATGCAGCCTCTGATGAGACAGTTTGGAGATGTGTCCTGTGAAAGGAATAATGGGAAGTGAGTGAAAGAGGAAATGACAGCTTGCTTTTTTATTAAAAGGTAAATAAACCCTGATAACCCTCATGGAGGTGCTTTTGCAAAGAAGTTGTTCTGTCTCTTGGGCCAAGCAGTGTGAAGTGTGAGCTCCACTTCAGGGACATGGGGAGCTTGGGTATGGTTATAACCATGTCCTGCTGTGCTGACAGAGGAGCTTTGGCTCTGTGGGCACCCACAGCCTGCTGTGGGATGGACATTTTTGGGTGGTTCCCAAACTGAGGGTGAAGTGCCTGCTCTGCAGGAATGTGGTCAGTGATTGATTGGTGAGTTCTTTGAGTGCAGAGAGTTTGTGCATCACTCTCTTCCCATTCCATAGAATCACAGAATCTCAGAATCAGCTGGGTTGGAAGGGACCTCCGAGATCATCAAGTCCAACCCTTGATCCAACCCCGCTGTGGTTCCCAGCCCATGGCACTGATGCCACATCCAGTCTTATCTTAAAAACCTCCAAGGATGGAGAATCCACCCCCTCCCTGGGCAGCCCATTCCAGTGTCTGATTACCCTCTCTGGAAAGAAATTCTTCCATGGGTGGCCTTGGATCCCCCTTGAGTTAAACTGGAGGAACGTGGGTGGTGTGTTTGCTTTGGGGATCATCCAGCACCCCCAGCTGTTCATAACTGGGCTTCCCTTCCCCTTGCCCCCCAGGAACGACGAGAAGCTGGACCTGCAGTGGACGCTGGAGGGGCACCAGCTGGGGGTGGTGTCGGTGGACATCAGCCACACGGGCACCATCGCGGCCTCCAGCTCCCTGGACGCCCACATCCGCCTCTGGGACCTGGACACGGGCAAGCAGGTCAAATCCATCGACGCCGGGCCCGGTGAGTGCCAGGGCTCAGCTGCTCCTGCTGCCAGGGCTGCCCAGGGCAGGGCTGGCTGTGTGAGGGCACCGCTCGGGCTGTTTTAGCCTTCGCCTGCAGAACTCGCCGTGGTTCGCTGAGCTCAGCACGAAGCGGTGCCAGGCAGTCGTACACTCATTTTTGTGCTTTCTCAGACAGGGGGGGAAAGGCTTTTTGCTGTGTGCCCCAAAGCAGGAGGGAAAGCAGCTTGCACTTACAGAGGCGTTGACAAAAATATCCTCGATCAAAGAAATAAGTCAAGTGCTTATTCAGATTAATTTACAAAGAAACTTCTGCACTGAATTTGAGCTCTGTGTGTGGTGCTTGTTTATGCAGCACATCCAGCCCTGAGCGAGCAACTCAGAGCATTTATCAATGTTAACAATGGTAATGTCCTCCAGGCTGCAATTCAGGGCCTAAGATCTTATTCCAAGTATTTCATTAGTGCACTGGCAATCACTAATTGTTCTTGAATTAGTCTGTTAGGTAATGAGTAATTCAAGAGCAACCTTGCAGTGTTTTAGGTAATTAATATTAAACTTATAGAAAAACACCTGTGAATTACATTGTGCCAGATAAATACATTGCACTGCTATAAAAAATGCTGGGTTTTTACCTTCAGTTGTGGGAATGTTGCTCTGTGTTATGTTTGTGTATCTGCACCTTCTGTGCTTTGCTGGATAACCAATGTTGCTTTCTTTCACTAGTTTTATAATTTTTTTTGTACTAGGGGAAAAGTAGGAATTTAGACTTAACTGAGGCAGTCTTAAGTTCTCAATTTATTGTTCCAGGAGGGTCTAATAAGATCAGGGTCTTACTATAAAATGTAATCTTTAACTAAACATAAATAAATGGCTCGAGCTGTGCTCCATTAATTACACAGAAGGGGTAACTTGTATGAGTAGAGTTGAGTGTATTAAGAGTAGGTAGAGGGTTAAATATCTAAACAGATGCACACAGAGCTGACAGTGTTGAATAAGAACTAGAAACAGGAGCCAGGGATCCAGCTAACTCATTTTTTCTTTTTGACACAGTTGATGCTTGGTCCCTGGCTTTTTCACCTGACTCCCAGTACCTGGCCACAGGAAGTCATGTGGGGAAAGTAAATATTTTTGGTGTTGAAACTGGAAAGAAAGAATATTCCCTGGACACCAGAGGGAAGTTCATCCTTAGCATTGCCTATGTAAGAAGCACAACTGATAATTTCTCATGTGAAATTGCTGTCACAGTGATGTGTTGTAAATAGATATTTTTGTTTCCATCTGTCAGTTTATCTCTACGTAACACTAAATGAATGACAGCCATACCGTGGTAGTTCCAAGCACAAATTGTGTGACATTCACCCCCCCCCTGCATATATGGGAAATACACTTTGATCTTGCTTATACACC